CCGATGAATTGTGGAATGAAGTACTATTGGGTCATTTTGTAATAGCTGTCCATGACCCGGAAGTTTTGCCGCGCAATATCTCAACAACCAAAATGGTTGGAAAGTGCTATAAACTACCCAATCAAAGCAGAGATCTTGCGCTTTCCAGAACGCCGATCAGACACTCAACAGGAGTATTATTAGAAAAATGTTGTCAATCAATAGTACAACATGACAAATTTTGTAGAACTGAGTAGTACTTTGGAAGTGCCGACAATTCTACCTGTTCATGTTTACGTCGTGCAAGAGAAAGCGTGGATGGATACAAGAGTGTGAGAACTGTATCTGACTGAGCTGCTCAATTCGAAATTGATGGGCCCTCTGTGATTTTGGCTGACAAACTTGACTGTCATGTGTATGTATTGGGTGCCCTTTCTTCACTGAGATGACACTGTTTCATTTTCTTGTAGACGCTGGGAGAACTTTGTGGTTTGACTCGATTACCGTCACTTATCCTGGAGCGTTGGTACAAGCAATGTCTGTGGCGTTGCATGATATGGTGTCATCTGTATTGTTTAGCGATTTGGCATCATTGCCCAAGAATTTGACAAGTGTTCTCCAACCTTTGGGTGTTGTTGTCATGGGGCCATTGAAGAGCAAGCTTTGTCACGTGGCTTCACGAAAAGCCGGTTGTGTCTGGAGCTGAAAAACGCATGGCTATGGTTAAGCGCACTATTGAGGCCTGGGAGGACATGCCATGTGAAACCATCACTCGCTCATTTGAAAATGCGTTGCCACGGACTCTTGTAGTGTAGCTTGTCACTTAAAAGCAATTTTACGAAATATTAGTAGTTTTCAGGAATATTGGAGTATTTGTTGCTGGTCGTTTTGGTCGTGGTAGAGTATTAAATGCTCCATTTTTGTCGATATGGCACTTCAATTCAAATACTGCTTGAATAAAAATACTGTCAATTGTCGTTGAGGATATTTTATTCCCCATACAAATTTCAAGATATTTCTCCAGTACGACTGGGGACGTCTTTCTGTCGCTCACTTCAGGCCCTGGTGTCGGAAGCGTTCATGTCCATGCACATTCATGTCCAGACTTTTGATTGGTTAATTATCCGGTCATCCGGACTCTGTTCATGCTCACTTTGGAGTGAAATGGGCGTGGACCAATTGTCCATGCCTGTTCCTGTCTTGCATCACAAAAATACTGGATGGCAAGGGGCCAAGTCACGGCAGTGGCTGCCGTCGAGGCGTCGTACTCGTCTGTCGACACACAAGGTTAGTCTCAAAAGTCATGTGGACCGATGTTACGCGTATAGCCCAGGTAGCACAAGCCAGACGGGGGAGGTTGTCCGCTTGGTGGAGTGTGTCCCGGTCAAGGAAGAGACCAGCGTGGCCTGGTGCAGTGAAAGCGTGTCGAAGCTGTTTAAGCTCCGCTATAAGTCAACTCTTTCTCCTATGTTCGACTCGAAAAACAACAATCAAAAGAAGCTGGCGTACGCGTCCCTTGCGGCAGAGCTCAGCGTACAAATGGATCGGACATTTACGTCCAAACAGCTCCAGGACAAGGTATTATCTTCTCAGCATGCGTGATCTAACTTGAATAGTTTGCTCGAATGAGATCGGAGTGGTCAACGTCGAAGCCATCGAATCCCCAGCCAACCGGGAACAAGAAAGCGACCAAAGTTCCCTCGAACTACGACATCATGCTGGAATATTGGTC